ACCTGCGTTCCCTTAGGGATAAAGTATCCGTTCAGAGTGACGTCCACCATTGTCTCGTGCGGAATCGCAATTGGAATGTGTGACATGTACCTTAACGATTCAAGGATAAACGCTTCCATATATGGCATGCGCTTCCTATCGTCTAATGTAGGAATCCTGCATGAAATACAAAAACAAGTCAATGTAATAATTCACCTTAATCGGGTTTAAATGAATTGGTCTGGACTCACCAGAGCTTCTCGCCGCCAGAAGCATCTTGATTTACTAGGTTTCTTTGTAGATATCAAAATTATCAACACTCATTCGCCAAGCTCACGCGTATTTAACATTTGATATCATCTCGTTGATAAGAATGGTATCACCCAAAATCTGATATTCCGTCCATGTCTATATGTTACTCATTTAAGTTAGGGATATTTTGTAGGTATACATTCGCAACATATCCCGTTTACCTTTCTCCAATAGCGTTGTCAACTTCTTTGTGAAGTTTTTCCTGGATGTCTGGGTAGTCCAACAGGTATGCTATCATACTTTTCAGAGCAGTTGATGTTGTCACAATAGCTACAATAGAAAAGGGTTCTTTGATGTTTTGGCTAAAGCTGTCTAATATTGCACGTTTGTAGTTAAATTGTATGCACAGGACTAATTAAAAATCCAATATCAGGATTTTTTTAAAATTACAAGATATAATAGTGGGAATTAAAAAAGCTTTCTTATCCTGTATATAAGCCCATTTGCGGGATTAGATATTTTTAAAGAACATTTTATCCCAGTGGTGCAGTGGATGGCTACATTACACTTGTATTCGACACCATACTTTTGAGGTACAATAGTACAATAACGTCATTTCTAAGGGCAATATAGTGAAATATTGGACCGTTCGGCCCTCGGTCCAATATTTCACTATATTGCTCGCAGAAATGACGTTATTAGTATTATTACCACCGTTAACGACTGAAACAGCAAGAAAATCTTACGCATTAAATGATATCTAATTTCCCGGGGAAAATTGCCGGTCCAGAATATATTCTAGACCGGTTCATATGGACCAACACTATGACGTCACACATTTCTCAGGTTGATATAGTAAAATGAACGCCTTCTAAACTAGCAATAAAACCCCCAGAACTGGCCCGGCAAGGTGGTAATAATACAAAATTCATGTACCTGTTTTAGGTCGAGTCAATCATGTTTTGCTATTTTATAAAGTTAATGTGCGATGGTTAGTATTTTTCAAATATATATAATCTATCTTAACCTGCAATAATAAGGTTCACAGATATGCCCTTAAACGCTGCATCGCTCAAAGGTTGATCTGTGTTTTTGCGCTTTTCTTGTTCCTTGAAGATATCATCAAACACACCCCTAAGATTATCTCCATCAAAGGTTTTCTAAACACAGTGAGAGTTTGTATTAAGATATTTGACAAGTAGGCGTTAGGTTGAACCGACCCTACGTCGTAAAGATACGACGTTAGATAGCGGCGTAACACGTCTCGATCTAGACTCAAGTTTTAAGCAATAAGTACACATACACAAAAGAACAACATTTGGCGTACAGATAAATGTTGACAAATGATCGTCAAATATTAAGTAGTCTCTACTGTTGTGTTTGCTCTTTAAATACAGAATGTGAAACGCAGTAGACAATAAGTCAGTCTGCAGTGCGTTGTATTTATGGTATGATAATAGAGAAAAAAGAAAAACTATTATTGATAGCACAAGTCCTCTACAAGTCAAGTGCATTCTAACATAAAACTGCCATCTCAGATTCTTCGTCAACTCTAAATTTGGCACAACCCGACCAAAAAACTTGACCCGCCAATTAAGTGCAGCCAGTAAACATATAAATCACACACCTTGGTCTTTTCAACGCATAGTTCCTTCAAAGTGTTCATATTCACTATAGCCTCTTTAAAAAATCTCCCAGACTCATGCGGAATGTTTATCGTCCATGGAAGAATATCCATATATGCGCAATCAATACCAAATGCTCTAATGGCTTCCCCATCAACCTTTAAGGTTAGTTTGAACATATCATCATTTCTATCAAACCTCTCTCCCATTAACTGTAAAAAGAAAGATATGTTGAAAACTTGATTATGAAGTACTCGTACATGTGTAAATTAGCAAAATCAGTTCCAAGCCAGTAGCCAGCTTTTGCCAAGGAGGGGGAATTCAAATTTGACACCCCCCCCCCCCCCCTGAACAACCCCCTGGCTACGTTCTAGTTTGATAAGCCTTATGTTGGTTGATGCAACCTATGAATCAAATCAAATCAAACCTTGAATTTTGATGGAAAAAAGTAAACATAGCAATGATACCAATATTAAATATTGTGTCTAAGATGGCTTCAAATCGAGCTCTTTTTAACCGCGGTAATCTCGTCTTACCACAATAAGCGCAATATTTGCTACTGTGAGGTACATGTCTTCATATGGATCAAACGGATCCTCCCGATCAAACCTCTCAACACAATCTTGAATTTCATCCATGCTGATTTGCTCAATGCGATCAAAACCTGTTCCATATTGCCGCAGTCCTTGGTGGGCAATCTTACGGTAATCTTTCCATTGTGCATCGGCCGAGCGGGTGATAATATCTTGGTTGTAATTTTGTAGCCTTAATCTTTCGTTCGGCGGCCGTCCTGCAAAGTCATCGCTCTTTGTAACGAGAACTTCGTAAATTGCTTCTCCGTGTACCACAACTACATCAGACATCGCTACGTTAATTTTATAGACATCTCCATACGTTTTCCTCCATTTCTCAAGAATTAGAATTTGTGATTTGGTGATCTGGTGTATATTCCCGATTAAAGGTAATCCATACGGACCAGGAACCGTGCATCTTTTTCGCGTTAATCTGTCATAAATCCACTTGGTTAAAGCAATAACCAAGAACCCGATGAAACACTCTGTCAACATATTCACCGAACCTGTTTTCTCCCAGTATATATGACAAGTGAATTATTACGCGAGTATATGTAGTGCTGTTAAAAAACTGAGAAATGTGACCTCCCGTGATCTTTTCTCCTTGTTATCACCTGTTCAGATGTAGTTTTGATATTAATCGATTGACACAAAAGTTGTCCTCGAATTTTATCGATTTAATTCTTTTTCTAAACTCGTAACGTCATAACAATAGTTTTAAGTTTAAGTTTATTGACCCAACACAATATGTCTTACAAGCTGACATTTGACATTATTATGCAGCTGAATGTACATTATCAATGACAGTAGGAAAAATATATAGAATGTAGAAGTGTAGACCTTTCAAGTTGTTAATAATAAGTTCCTCTGGTAATACGCTGACTTTATATATCTATAAAGACAGTCATTGTTAAATAATATTTGAACTGTTAGGTCATCACTTAGGTTTTTGAGGTACGGTATATTACAGTAGTTATTATAGATTTTAGCATTTCTGCTCTTTCTTTCGCAAAGCACAATTCAAAATAAAATGTGATAAGTCTTCCTCAATTGGTAAGGTTGTACAAAATGGGCATTCAGAATTACAAAGAAGATTTGATATGTATGTCGTTAACTAGGTGTCACTAGAAGTTAGATAATGTGCAATTTAATAATTTTCTTTCGTTTTTAATCAACTGTAAGCTCACTGAGGAGACTGATTTTTTCATTAACGTTTTGTAAATATTAATCTTGAAGTCCCATCTTAAATTGTGAGTGACAACTGTTGCAATCTGCAGGGTTATTAAAGACATCCAAAAATCCATTTGTATACATCATTCTCTTAATACTCTTATACCAATGACTATTGTGAAGTTTTGCATCTAAAAAGCAGCATTTAATAAAGAATTATTGGTTCCATTAGCCAGTCTTTTCCAATATTTTATACAGCCCTCCCATATTTTAAAGGACATAAGAAATCGTCCTAGCTCAGCTCTGCAACTTACCGGTAAGTTGTTGCACGATTTATGGACATTTAATATTGCTTTACAAAACCTAGTATGACGTTTTTCGTAGCAATTGCTATCTCGGGCGCGTAACCAAGATTACGCGGGAGTACGCAGTTGCGTACCCTAAATGATGTAGAAGTACCCCATTATACAGTCTGATATCGCTTAGAACGCACCATTTAAGGTCTAAAATCAAATATTTTCCGAGGGGGGTGTCCCCGGAACCCCTAGTTTTGCTCGGCCTTCGTCCTCGCGTGCCTGCTATCAAAATCCTGGTTACGCCACTGTATCTATAGAGTTCTCATGTAAATGGAGGGCTATGTTTTTATCAAATGTATTTAAGTCATTAGTTCTAATTTAGTTTCGAAAGAATCTAGTTCTAATAATACATGTCTCTTGACCACACCAGGCTTTTTGGAACCAGCCCATCTATAAGATTTTATACATTTAAGTTATTCAGCTGATTTTAAAGATTAACTGACTCGTCTAAGCCGTCAACACATATATGATTGGAATAAGATGGGATGCCCCAAATTGCCGTATAATAGAACTGGTGCCACCTGTGCATGGGTTGATTTTACAAAAAGTATGCAAGCACTTGAAACAAAACCCCTCAAAATATATAAAAAATTAAGATAAACACTTCATTTCATTAACAAGATACTTTTTTAAAATCAAACTTTCCTTTGTACAATTACAATATTGAGAGACCTAAATACATTGTTAAATGTCGTTTTGTTCCAATGGAGTTCTGATAGATGTTTTATTTCATTCCGAAGATATGATACCAAGAACAAAAGAAGTTTCTAATGTGTTTCTAAAACAATATAGAGAAAAGGATATACGAGATTTCAAATTATAATGTTACCATTCAAAAGATGACCATAAAATTGACAATGTGTTCAATCTTTAGATTATTTTTATGACTGGTTTAAGAGAAACGTGTGTTCAAAAAGTTCTCCATATCGATACCACCCCTTTTAGATTTAATAAAATCAATTGGTTATTAAGTAATTTGAAACTTAATAAAAACTTCTTTCCAAAAATAGGAAAGTCAGTTGATTAGTTACAACATTGTTTTATTGTCACAGTTCAAGTTAAACATTTTTAGAAAATATGGTTCCAAGATGTCATGACATATCGAGTGATATTTTTTGAAAATGGCCAGCTTAGAAATCGTTGCTTTGTGATCGAGGCACCACTTTGATAGGTGCTCTTCAGATATTACATGGTGCCCCAAAAATTGGGCAATGAATATATAATTATCAATGATACCTCCCTATCTGGTTCTTAAGTTTATGTCCTGTAGTTCTCACATTATGTATGGTAAGAGTTCCATTTTTATGTACTCGTATTATACCCCTCTGTAAGTTTTGTAACCAAACGTTCCCTTTGAATAACGCATTAAATCCTCTCGGCGTTTGAATCTTAATTCTTTTCATCAGAATATAATAAATCAGAAAATGACAAATTCGATGCATCTAGTAAAAACCCTTTCAAAAAAATCGTAAGCTCAATTGGTTTAATTTGGTCCTTCAATTTTACGCTCATCAGTAGCCGGCCTTTCATATCCCGTGTTCAAACGGATGATATGGTTAAAGGCACCATTTATAGTCTTGTCTATAGTCAAAAACAATATACGTAGTCTAGTCTCTTTTCTTGACGCGTATCTTGTAGTCTTTCATTTTCATAGGGGCACCAAGGATACTGTCCCTCGGATCGTATTTTGGCAGACACCCGGGCTTTTCAGGCAGAAACTCATATCGTTGAAGCATTGTCGTCATAAAAAGGAAAATTCGAACTCTTGCCATTTGTTCACCGACACAAACTCTTCGTCCTGCCCCAAATGGCATCAATCTAATAAAAGAAAATATATCTTATTGACATATTGTCTGAATTATAGTCAGTTATATCTGTATTCTGATGATACCTCTTTCCATGTGACAGAAGTAAAAAATAATTTCAAACTACTCAAAAATGTACAGACAGACCTCGACAGACTTTCACTATGGTCCCTTAAATGGAAATCGAATCTTAAACCTTCCAAACGTGTAGAAAATATTTTTAAGGGGTCAAGAAAGAAACAGTTAAAATACCCTTTTGTTTCTCTAAGTAATGAAAAGATCAGCAGAACATGTAATCATAAACAACTAGGAGTGTTATTAGATGAACACTTAACTTTTAGCTCACATATACATGAAACAATTGACAAATATCTAATAATGTTGAATCCATTCAAGGCTTTAAAGAACAAAGGTCGATCCAAACACCTTGAAAAAATGTACTTGTCCTTTATACCTCCTAAACTAGTAAGTGGATGCATTCAGGGAACTTCAAAAATTAAATTATTTAAATCCCTGAACTCGAATGATCTTTTGACCAGGAGAAATGAAAATACTTAAATCTTATGCACAAAGTAAAAAAAACGAAACACTCCTTTCTCATCTCCAACGAATTTTTGACCAACATAGAAATCCTATTCAAGATATAAACTTAAGAAATGTCAGAGAATTTAATATTCCAAGATCATCTGGCTCCTTTTCTAATTCGACAATGATAAAAACAATGCGCGAATGGGAAAGGCTCCCACAATACCTAAAAGAAAACAAAAGGAAAAGGAATGTTAAAGAACATTTCCGAGACAAAGATTTACCATTACCTACATCTAAGCTAGAATTATCACGAAAGAGTGAAATCCTTCTAAATCGCATTAGATGTGATTTGATTTTTACAGACCACTTTTTCCTACATAATTTTAGAAATGTTGACAGTCCAGATTGTTTATGTGGCTACAGATACCAATCTACTAAGCACCTCATCTTCAACTGCCTGCTATTATTAAAAAGAAAGAGAAGAACTTTGGGGGGGGAGGGGGAACTTGGGATAATGCCTGAACTTCTTTTTTCACCAAGATGCTCTTTAGAACTCAAGACAAATACTCTCCTGTTTGGTGACATCTCATTAAATAATTATATTAAATGTCTTGTATTTAAATCTTTTTCAGATTTTTTTGTAAGATAATATAAATTGTCGTAAATAACATGTATTTATGATGAGTTAAAAACAAACAGTTCATTTCACCTGTTCACCAAACAAGAGAGCCATCTTTAATGTATATTCAAATACTGTTACCCACAGGGCCAATAATGCTTTGGCTTAGGCCCTGTTAAATGATGTATATTAATATTGTTTAAATAAAGGTACCATAAAAAACTAAAAAAGAATAATCAAAAAACAAATGCACAGACACACATACATGCTTTTAGATATCCATATTCGCATCCAGGGCCAAGGGCTACTTACAACTTTCGTTGGTCCGTTGGAATCAATTCTCCTGCATCATCTAAAAATCGGTCTGGTTTGAAAGTCCATGGGTCGGGGAAGTACCGCTCGTCGTGATGCAGGCTGAATAAATTGGTCCATACCTTCAATAAACCTAACGTTAAGTGTTGCTTAAGATTTGTAAAGGGCTGTTATAAATAGGGTATATAGGCTAGAGGTGTGGACACATTGGCCCACATTCAGTAAAGTAAATCAAATACTGTTGCTTAAGAGAAGTCAGTTGAGTAGAAGTCACATATTTTCTGAATGGAAGTTAATATAAAGAACGAGAAATGTAATCTTACAATATCTTTCTAAAACAGTTATTTTTGAAGTTGCATTTTACCTGCGTTCCCTTAGGGATAAAGTACCCTTTCAGAGTGACGTCCACCATTGTCTCGTGTGGAATCGCAAATGGAATGTGGGACATGTACCTTAACGATTCAAGGATAAACGCTTCCATATATGGCGTGCGTTTCCTATCATCCAATGTAGGAATCCTGCATGAGATACAAAAACAATTCAATGCAATTTATTAAGAACGATATTAATTTCTATTATATTTTGTTCATTATAGGGTGAGCCAAAAAAGGTTACCCTAACAAATCTTAATTACTCAGTCATCCTGCATGGGTTTAGTGTCATATTTGGCACTTAGGTCTTGTCCAATGTATTGTCATTCTACCAAGTTTCAGTGGTCTCACTCTAGTGGTCACGATTTTAGGGCCATTTTATAAAACATGCCATAAAAATTTGGCGTCATAAACGAGCATAAACATCTAGTTTTATGGCTCCCATATTCCTTCTCATCTCTTATTTCAATGTTTCAAATGTTGTTAGTGTAGGAAATAGGCCTGCACATAAAAATCTGATGGGATGGGGTGTCAGTGAGACACATTTCGGCATTTTGCGCATGTTTTGTAAATGGCCATAAAATCGTGGCTATTAGAGTTAGATGAAGATGACACTTAGTAGAATGAAAGAACATTAAACAAGGTTTAATTGTGCTAAATACGATTTTAAACCCATGCTGAATGACTGCGTTATTAACATACATTTGGTTGGGTTACCTTTTTGGCTCACCCTATATGTATTTACCGCTTCCTAGTCAACTCGTACCCAAGACAACTCGTACCCAAGACAACTCGTACCCAAGACAACTCGTACCCAAGTCAACTGGTACCCAAAACAACTCGTACCCACGTTTATTTTCTGTTTTATGGGTGCATATAAGAAAACAAATTGAGTCTGTGTCAAATTGTTTAATGTTATAATGTGCCTCAATATTTTTTCTGAATTTAGAAGACATTTTTTCTCAATGGATTAAGCAAAGCATTTTGTTTTAACTTGGATTACCTTTGAAGTGCTTTGAAGGGCTTGTTCTCAACTTTTTTTGTAATACATATATAAATGAATATAATTACAACAGTAACTTTTCAACAAATGAATCAAACAATTAATTTAGTTTAGTGCATTCAGAAAAAATTAATATGGGAACTTTAATCTGTTAATTTCTTTTCCATTTTGAACTTAATTGGATTATATTTGAACACAAGCATGCAAAGTGTATTATATCATGTATGAATAAGTATCAAAATAATATTTGATATTCATATTATTTAGAATATTTTTTATTGCTTAATTTTATGAAGGTGACTTCTCAAATTTATCATTCTTTAATCTGATAATATGAAATCCTAAATAGATGTTTAATAAGAAATAGGCACAATTTTTGAAAATCTTTATATTTTTGATAATACCATATTTCAAGATGAATTAGATCTGATACTTGTTTCAAACACTCATTAACATACAAAAATACCACTAATATTGTGAACAATGATTATGAATATGTGGAATAAACATAAATCTCTTCCCTCGAACATCTGAATCTGTGACCAATATATTTGGTCACAAATTTCAATCGATTTCTTCCAAAAACTCTTCTACATACTTCAAACTATTCTGAACTGTATGTAACCATTATAATATGTATATCTATACCCATTCTCAGCCCAACACTTGATTCAAAACAATACATATACTTGGGTACGAGTTGTCTTGGGTACGAGTTGTCTTGGGTACGACTTGACTTGGGTACGAGTTGTCTTGGGTACGAGTTGACCAGTTACCTATTTACCAGTATTCAAGGAGGATTAGCCCCCAGGGACGCAACTGAATATTTTCCAACAATGAAAATGTCAGAAGGTTCGTATTTTTGTCATTATAACTGACTTACAATTTATAATCAGCTGTCCAAAAGATTTACTTCTTGAGTGTTATGGAATTTTTGTTTATGCAAACAAGACCAAAACTCGCAATTGAAATTCTAAAGTGAACAAAATTGCGGTTCTCTCGTACCAAGAACATCTCTTCGTTCAGGCTGAATGGCAGAAGATCGAGTAGGAACCCTGGGATCTAGTCCACCTTGACCACCATTCAAACATTATTGAAACGTGTTTCTTTCTCAGTTTCTTCTTGCTGATTAATTGGGAAAATGTCAGATTTCTCAGTTTTGTCAAACGAAGGCACCGCCGTATGTCCCTCCATTTGGCGATTTTCAAGATAGCCCTCGTTCATCAAAACGGACGCCATCTTTGATATCTCAAATACTAGTCGACGGATTTGGTTAAAATTTTACATGCTGCTACCTATTGACAAATAAGCCAAGTTCAGAAGAAGTGAGTAGCTCCCATAATTCTTTGGTATTTCTTACATAGCTTTCCCTCCATAGTCTTACAAGCTTTATATTGATCTTTCGCATGACATTCGAAATACTGCGGTGAAAAGTTACATTGTCGTGATGACGGCCATTTTGAAATGTTAATTAATTCAAAATGGCAGCCTAAGATGGTTTCTTTATATAATCTTTAGATCTTTGGAATTATTTAAAAAACAATATGTGTGAAAAACGAAATTTGTAGCCATAACATTAGCAGTGTTCCGGAGCTGGACGACTCTATTATATATTGAAGATGGTTACCAAGATTCTTTCGTTTACGATAAACCTCCGATTTCAGCTAAACTAAGTCGAATCTTGATACGTGATATTCGATCTATATCCATGTAACCATAATAATTGGGTGTACTAGTCATTTATAGTATTTTGAAGGCATAACATAACGGACAATCCCGTTTACCTTTCTCCAATAGCGTCATCAATTTCGTTGTGAAGTTTTTCCTGGATGTCTGGGTAGTCCAACAGGTATGCTATCATACTTTTCAGAGCAGTTGATGTTGTCAGAATAGCTGCAATAGAAAAGGAGTCGATCATTGGACTAAATCTTCCTTACATCACACGCAGGTAGGCCTAATAGACCTTTCCAATAAACCCTACCACATTTTGGTATATCAAGAAATATATGATGTATTGGCTCGATTGATGTCATTTGGTTGTACTTTTTCAAAATAAGTCATAAGTTAGGTCTATTTTTACTTGGATATATTGCTACAACCAATGACATCATCAATCTAGCCAATCAATGTATCCTAGTTTCTTTGATGTACCAAAAGGTGGCAGAGTTTATTGGAAAGGTCTATTGTACCCCCCCCCACGACTTTTTAAACATAACTTCGAAAGGGAATACAAATGTTTTTTATTTTAATTTGAGATCTAGCGTTGGCCTACCTATGTTTTTCTATTTCATAAACTTAATGGACCGTTTTTTTTCAAATAATCTATCTTTACCTGCAAGAATAAGATTCACAGATATGCCCTTAAACGCTGCATCACTCAAAGGTTGATCTGTGTTTTTACGCCTTTCTTGTTCCTTGAAGATAGCATCAAACACACCCCTAATATTATCTCCATCAAAGGTTTTCTAAATGAAAGGAGTTTTATGAGATTTTTTACTACTACTTTTAATACTACTATTTTCACAATTTTATTGATATTTGGTGTCAAATACACATATCTCGGTATATTTGAAGTCCCAAAACGGCTTAGTTTCAGAAATATCCCAATTTCAAATTCAAAAAAGACCGTTAGCTCCGCACCCTCCGCTCATTTGCGCCGCACCCAATATTACCCACAGGCTCTGTCTGCATAGGGTGAGACAGAGCACTTTTTAAAATAATCGATCCAGCAAACAGTGACGTCCATGTCACGTTGCTCATAAGTAGCATATAAGTTCCTAGAAAACGTTGCACATTTTCGTTCTTTACACATCGAGGCAACGTAAACACGAGACATCTATTGATGGTATAAAAAAAACGTTGTTGTAACGTGTCCGTAAAGTTCGTTAGTGTGGAAAACATAACAAACAGGAACGTTTGATTTTTTACTACATTGGTCCATATGTGACGTAACTCAAACGTTAAAATTCAACGTTGTCAAAACAGGCTTTTTATATCAAAATATTTGTTGGTGGAAAAAAACATGACAAAAACTTTGTGTTCTCACTAAGTCGGTTCATTTCCGACGTATTGTTAACGTTAGAATTTAACGTTGTCGAAATGTTTTTTCGATTTGAAATAACCTCAAAACGTGACGTCAATAATGATGTTTATGGACCGTATTGATCTGACGTTATTTAAATATTCACAGAACGTCGATGGATGGTTGAATTTCAACATTGTGGAAATGGCTTCAAAATATTTGTGAGTTAAGGAAACGTTACAAAGACGTCAATAAGTTCTCACTAAATCGGTTCATTACCGACGTTATTTTAACGTTAAAAGTTAACGTTGTCAAAACGTTCTTACGATGTGAAATAACCTCAAAACGTGACGTCGAAAATAACGTACATGTATCGTCCAGATCCAACGTTAAAAATAAAAAAATCCTAACCCTGCTAGGAACGTTAAGTACCCGGTCACCCGGTTACCCGGTTACCCGGTTACCCGGTCACCCGGTTTTTTAAACAAACCCCTATATAAACGTAGTGTAAATACTTGTATTAATGTGGAGATAAACTGCAGCATAAAGTACAGGTCCGAAATATTGTTAAATCAATCTCAGGAAAGTACAAGCCCTCTACAAGTCATGTGCAATTGTTGTATACTCAAGTATGGATAAGACACATTCTAACATAAAACTGCCATCTCAGATTAATATGACTCTTCGTCGACACCAAATTTGGCACAACCCGACCAAAAAACGTGACATGACAATTAAGTGCAGCAAGTACACATACAAATCACACACCTTTGTCTTGTCAAAGCATAGCTCCTTCAAGGTGTTCACATTCACTAAACCCTCTTTCAAAAGTCTCCCAGACTCATGCGGAATGTTTATCGTCCAGGGGAGAATATCCATATATGCGCAATCAATACCAAATACTCTGACGGCATCCCTATCAACCTTTAAGGTTAGTTTGAACATATCATCATTTTTATCAAACCTCTCTCCCATTAACTGTAAAAAAGAAAGATGAGTTGAACTACATCAGTAAAACCAAATCTAGATGCTCATCTTTCTTGATAGACCTACTGGTTGATGCAACTCAATCAAATCTTGTTAAACTTCGTAAATCGATTCGCAAATATAAATAAATATATTCATCACACTAAAACGAAACCCTTAATTTTCGTTGAAACATTCGCAACAAATAGTCATTTATACATGCAAATTAAGCCCCCTCACAAATGAACGAATCCACGTACTAAACGCATTCTTGCGAATTAGGTAAAATTCGTAATGTATATCTGGTTACAGATTTTGAAACAGTTTCGGTGAAGATTCGACAAAATTGCCCAGGGCGGCGCTTGGTGGATTCGCTGAGGATTCATGAGGGGGCTTATAGCTATATGAGTAATACAGGGTGGTCAAAATACTGTAAACTCTTACACCATTTTCCTAATTTCTTTGTCATTTAAAGAAATAACTTTACACATTTGTACAGCACTCGATTTCCTACCAGCCTACCTAATTTCATGACCATCAGATTGATAGTCACAGCGTGTACACTTACTGTAAAGAACATTGCCGGTGGCCAAGAAACCTGCGATGTCTAGAAGAAACCTGCACATGTCGTCCAAAATTTCCCTACTTATGGGGATATGGCAGAGATGGAAAGTATAGTATGACCTCAGGACAATTGCAGACCTCGAAAGTGAGATCATTGCTATCATTTAGGCCATACCTGCTGAGGTATGCATTTGGGTCATTGACAACAACTGAGCAGGTTTGCCTACAGCGCGATGATGGCCAAATCTGAAGCATGATGTTCAAAGTGCTGTAAAATTGTGATTTCTTAAAATGACAAAGATATGAGGAAAATGCCGAATGCCGGGTTTCCGGTTTTTTACCACCCTGTACTTTTAAAACTATATGATTTATGGCAATTCATATAAATATTGTGTCAAAGGGACCGAGATGAGCTCAAGTCGGAGATGTAGGTAATCGCGTCTTACCATAATAAGCGCAATATTTGCTACTGTGAGGTACATGTCTTCATATGGATCAAACGAATCATCCCGATCAAACCTTTCAACACAATCTTGAATTTCATCCATGCTGATTTGCTCAATGCGATCAAAACCGGTTCCATATTGCCGCAATCCTTGGTGAGCTATCTTACGGTAATCTTTTAATTGTGCATCAGCCGAACGGCTTAAAATATCTTGGTAGTCGTTTATTAACCTAAATCTTTCACTCGGAGGTCGTCCTGCATAGTCATCGCCCTTCGTGACGAGAACTTCATAAATTGCTTCCCCGTGTACAACAACTACATCAGACATTGCCAAGTTGATTTTATAGACATCTCCATACGTTTTCCTCCACTTCTCAAGTAATGGAAATGGTGATTTGCCGATTTGGTGTATATTCCCGATTAAAGGTAATCCATACGGCCCTGGAACCGTGCATCTTTTTCGCGTTAATCTGTCATAAATCCACTTGGTTAAAGCAATAACCAAGAACCCGATGAAACACTCTGTCAACATATCAAACGAACCTGTTTTCTCCCAGTATATGTGATAAGTAAATTATTACGCTTATATGTAGTGCTGTTTAAAAAACTGAGACCTCTCGTGATCTTTTCTCCCTGTTATCACGTATTAAAAAGTGGTTTTGATATTAATCGATTTTACAGGGTGACACAAAAGTTGTCCTCGAAGATTAACGATTACTTCTTCTAACTCTTAATAACAACTTATATAATATGTCATAATCCATGGTCTCGTGTCTAAAACTACATTATTATGCAATTTTTATTTGACAGCATTCTCAAATGTTTTTGCCATCTGAGTGATGTCACGATGAGGTCACTTAGGTTGCAAAATATTTTTCACATGTTAAAACATTGAAGTGGCACATTTGATATGACATTCTATTATTGTCTCCTTTGTTCAATCTTTGCATTGGTGTTAAAAAGATAAAGTTTTTGCTTTGATGATTAAAATATTTCAACTTTTATAAGAAAAATGGCGGGAAATTTGAATACATGTATTTGATAAAAGAAAACCTGACAACTTTTTTTCAAATTTTTTTTTCTTCAAAAATCTCTAAAATTACTTATAAAGTCATGATAAATAGTAAATGTATGATAAAAATATATTTTCAAACTTAACACGGGGTCTTTAAGTAAAGGCTCATGTGTGCAGCTTTTTGAATTTTGTTCATCAGTATATGATAGATTAGAAAATGACAAATTCGATGAATCTTGTAAATCGCCGAACATAAACTTTCAAAACAAATCGTATGGGAGGGCACTTTGTTATTTCACAACAATGATATTGAAATGAAATGACTAGTTTGACACGATCGAATCAGTAGGGCCTGGAGGTTAAGTATCGAATTCAAAAACTATACATCATATAAAATAAATCGGACCCTGACCTCCTCCTAATTGTGTAATTGTCAGATAAAGAATTGTACAAGATCGCAGTTAAGGTTATCTAAACACGCATAAATATCACAGTGTACAAAGGTATACTAACAAAACATACATGACATTGTATAGTTCAGAGTGACACAATTAAATTTGAGAGATAAATATAAACCTTCGCCTTCGTTAAAAATCCAAAGAACGTCGTGTGACCACAGCTTTATGCTAGCTCCTTCAGAAGCAATTTTTACAGCCACGGACAACGCTTCAACATAGTACAAGCTCGTCCACCGTCAGTTAAGATCTTAAGAGTCCCGTTCTTCGAATCCATCTCGTTTTAAGTACGTCGTCGCACTGTCAAATTGCAGAACGGGATGGCCGCCAGTGTTCTTGTGCACATACCCGTCAGTCTTATAAAGTTTGTAAAAGATTAAGTTTCGATTACGTCCAATCCATTTTCTCACAGATCCATTAGGCGAAACGTTTCATGAACTTAGTAATGTACAGTAAGAACTGGTTTAGGGGTAACACTGATCGATGAGTCCTAATGGTTTTCAAAGACGGGGTTCAAAGTTTTGAAAGAACACTTTTAGTAAGTAATCTTAGTTCGTTTATCTAAAGGAATAAATATAAATGAGAATGATATTGATACTGAATATCAGTATTAAAATTAACAAATACATGTTACCCCCCCTATCACATCAAACTAGTTCTTACCCGTTCTTGCCAGTCCTATGAAAACGTCGTAAAACGGGCTCAATCTGGCTGTGGTCGGGAAATATGTCTAAAATAATTAGCTACTTCGTTCATAAACAGTCGTCAATACGTCCATCTCATTCGCAGTTCGTTCAGGTCGCTCCACATCGGTGTGCAACGTCGTATAACGCTAGTCATATAAATCCGACCATCGTATGCTTTATTTGTCATTATTTTTTGATAATTTGGATATTTATTTTTTGTTATTTTCTTGCATACTAGGGTCGTACACACTTCCCGGTTGTAAATTGAGGGAAATGCTTTCCTGGCCTGTTTAGGCAACCAAAATCACACAAATTATGTATTAGAATATGCTCTTCATCGATAATGTATTTAATCCTACCTTACACACGTCAAACGCTTGATAATTGAAGAAGTATAAGAATTTTTCTGGAAAATTTTTTTTCCCCATGTGTAGATGCATTCTGGGTAATGATTGTGTAAAAGTAAAACTCTAGGTGAAGCGAAAAACGAAATTACAATAAATAACAGCAGCCATATTGAGATCGAGATTTCAACTCGAAAGTTTATCATCGTCTTATGACAATTGAATCGCCTTCTCAGACACCAAGGAGGGTGAAGAAACCGAAAACAGATATGTTGGTAATAAATAATTACGATTTCGTTTTGGTTGCATGGTTTCACATTTAGACAGTATTCAGTGACCTTGAGTGACCTTGAGAACCATATTGGAAATTGGTTCAAACATATACGAAAATGATTACATTTCTTCAATTATCAAGTACTTCCTGTGTTTAAGGTAAGAGTTAATACATTCTAGTTGAAGCATTGGATCCATTATCTTATCTGTGTAACTTTTGTTGAGCACAGAGGGCAGAAAAGCATTTACCGCAATATACAGGGCTTAATATCCTCGACGCAAATGTTGAAAACAAAAATAAAAAACAAATATCCAAATCGTCAAAAAGAAACGTGAAACAACAACATTAAGTCGAGTTCACTTGACTATATAACGCATCCCTTAGTCTAGAAGGTCATCATGACCTGATTACAGAACGGTATGGTCGCCATCGAATTTTGAATCATTTCAAAATTCTAAAATCACCTTCCCGTCTGAGAACGTTCATGAAATTCATAAATAGTAACTAACATGTTTACTTTAGGGTTCAAAATATATGAATACAATGTCAAAAAATCGGATATGTTTGATATCAAGGAAAATCAGTTAACATATTGTTTCGACATGTATACAACAGAACGTAAAGATCTCGGAGTCTGTTTACAAAAGTATTTATTGGTTGTGGTTACAAATCTATATATAAACAGACCCCCCTACCTGGCCAAAACATTACATCAAAATCAAGCAGTTTTTCACCATTCTGAGCATGTTTCAAGTGATTTTGGCCATTTTTGGACCTTTCTTGTCATATGTGAACACCTCCCCCCTTTGAAAATTTTCAGAAAATGCACTCTCCCAATCGGCAAAAGCTGGCTACGGGCCTGATAAAGAACACTTTTAGTAAGTAGCCATAATAGAAAGTGTTTTGACTGAAGGAATACATCCGATAAAAGATAAATGAGGATAATTTTGATACTGAACCGCTGAATCAATATTAAAATTAGCAAATACTATTTCGGCAATATTTTGATCAATGATGAAAATGTCTCACAAATCGTGTTTGCACCTATAAACATTTTAGTATGTTGGAGGCAGGCCCGTAGCCAGAGGGGGAGCTGGGGGAGCGGAAGCTCCCCCCCCCCCCCTGGCCAGAAATTCTTTCAAAATCATGCAGTTTTTCACCATTCTAAGAATTTTTCGCATGATTTTTAGCCAAAATTGTGAAAAAGCTCCCCCCCTGGAAAAAAGCTCCCCCCCCCTGGTAAAAGCTGGCTACGGGCAAGGGAGGGTAACAGATAGAAGAAAAGAATACACCAAACCATTCAAACTCCAAGTATTTTCGTTCAGTGCCAGGTTAAGACGTTTAACCAACCAACCGATATTGAAATTTTATGTTTTCTGATAACATATTGTTTTGTCATATCTGGTTATTCAATTACGTCATAATCCCAACTTTGTGTTTATTTGCAACTTAGCAACATTTCTAAAACGGTATTCCACGGAGAAGAACGGATTTTGACAACATAACCAAATCTTGTGGCTATCATCATGAACTTACAAGCGGGTGGTTCTTTCCCTCGTTTAAGGCGTGAAGAAAAGAGACGAATAATCGAAAGGTAAGGACAACGTAGTTCCCGATGGAATAAAACTAGCCTGCAACCTCCAAACACAGGAGGGATGGCTAGAGCCTTTAGTTTATGCATAGAGCAACGAGTATAGCGACGTTCGGTCGAGTTTCTGAATTACTCAAATTCAGATTACATTGTCATTGAGGATATCGAAGACGCTATATTGTGGCGATTCACGGCCAATTTGATCGAAAATGAGATTTCATATGATACATTATCACAAGAGGTTAATGCATGCACAGAATTAGCGACGATAAAATCCTATAAAATGAAGACCAAGTGATTGAAGGGTTGAAGCAACAGCTATGTCCGCCATTTGTGACAACGGTATCTGACTTTACCGTAGTCAGGCTATTCCTAGAGGCATCTCTGTGTAGCATGCGCGGTAATTTCATGGGGAAGAAATGCTCATATTCTGTTTAAACGTTGAAATAAATGAATACTTACAAAGTTGGCGCCAAACGTATGTCGTTCAGTTCCGTTTGTACGACGTGGTGGGAATTGGGAATGGGGTGTGAGTTTATTATGAAACAATAATGCGCGGAAAAAAAGCCTGCTCAGTTGACTATACCTTAATCTAATGCACTAAAATGCTCCTCGTCGATTGGCTGAGAAATACTTTGCATATATCAATTTTTATAACTATTTAAATCCCATTATAATTGTAAACTCGGGAACTAGTTTGCGCGTCATTAAAAATAAAAATCATGTGATGACTATACCCCGTAAGTTTTAATCTACTAAGTTTTATGCGATACATGATTTGGTTGCGGACTTTAATAAGACTATACAAGAAAAATATCGAAGTCGTGGACCATTCAGTCAAACACCCTGAAGTAGCCTACTTAACGCAACAAGTAAAGTGCCCGAACCGGGGATCGAACGGGACCCATGCGAAATCAGGCGTATCAAAAGGATTTCTCAAGGGGCGACTTCACCCTATGCTTAGTGAGCGGACCTAATTTCAAGGGCGATGGTTAAGACGATGCATGGCGCCCAAACCTGGCCTGTAACTAGGTGCACTGATGCTTTCTTCGCAAATTACATCGCCATTGCTCGTCATCGAAATTCTGATCGCCGAATAGTAAACATTCATTTTGTATTGGATGTACATAACTAGAGACCGCCTTATTTCGCATATATGAAAAAATAAAACATATCTAGGTACATATATCTTTATATGTGACATCGATCAGGAATTATTGACATATTGACAATATTAGGTTGTAATTTCTTGCGG